GGGGGGGGGGGAAGGCACCCGTGGGCCTACCGGGCTTCGAAGCGGCGGCCCGGCGAAGAGGCAGCCGGGTAAAGATGCAAGCGTGCAAGGTTTTCAAATCCGCGAGCTGGCCTAACAATGTGCAGGGCCAAACTCTCATCCAGGGGCCTCCTGGGGGCACAGGTCCCGGCAGCCGTGTGTCGGAGGAGTATGCGACAGCATGGGCGAGAGCCGTGCCTGTGTTAGGTCTGTGAATACCTCTGTTCAAAAGCCCCCTCTACCGCTGCCCTTCCACCATCACCGAAGTTCCACCCATTTTTGCCTGCCCCACCAGCTAGTCCCAAGCCCAAGTGCCAGGCTCTCCCTTTCGGGGTGAGTGTATTTTCTCGAGTTGCCTAGTCCCGTCCTCAGGCTCAAAGTAGTCTAGCCACTGAAAAATCTCCGATGTGGTCTCCCGTCAAAGGCACGCCCCTTTGCCAAAAGCACACACACACACACACAAAACCATGGCCCACGAGCACCATGCGGCCCTGATCCGCGGCCATCTCGCGGGTGTTGTGTCCTCGCCGAGTCCTTGGTACACGTCGCACATTGTCCGACCGGCTGGCCCACGTACTACGGCCTAGTAAATGGGCCTGGAACAGGGGCCTGGTCAGGGCGAGGAAATGCCACGTTGCCCTGTGACTCACGTCTGTGGGGGCTGCCCATTCCCCGCTGCCATCCCGACCCTTTGGCCATTTTGGTGAGAAAGACCAAGCAGGGCGGGCCCTCACCGACCGCTAAGGGGCTGCTCCGTCCTCCGGCAAAGGTCTACCCTTCGGCCGGCCCACGGCCAGGTACACCGGATCGATGCTTGCTGTGTGTACCCGGGGACCCCGGCCTGGCGAGCTCCGGCACTGATCATCTCGGCATGAGGGCCTATTTGCCAACTCCCAGCAATACCCATCGACCCGGCACTCTTGCTTGCCCCCTCGCTCTCGGGCTCTCCAGTCCACTTACCGGGGGGGGGGGGGGGGGGCCAGGCACAATCATCGGCACCGTCGCCCTATAACCCCTTAAGTCGGCTCTCTGGATCCACTAAGCCGGCTCCCGCGATCCAAACTCCCCCGAGTGCCGGTGACTCCGGGGCACCACCATGACGCTTGCCTCCGGGCACCATCCGCCTCCGGCTTCCCGGATGTCCTCCTGTCGGGCACCGCTGTTCGATCGCCTGCCGCGCAGCCAGGCCACGCAACGGTCCTGCTAGCGCCAAAGCACAGTGAGGATGCACAGCGAACCCAAGATAGCACACAAGTCCACGCGCACATACCCCCCAGCGGCCATCCACCTCCTCATGGCGCCAAAATCGAGCCGGAGCACCCCGCTCCCAAGCCGCAGAGCATGTGCCACCCACCGAAAGATGCCAGCGGAGAGACCGGCACATGGATGGTGCTCATGTTCAAGGGGCCCTCGCGTCCTGTCGAGCCTCGATCTAAACCCCCACGCAGTCAAGATAACCCAGCGCTGCATACACATGACACTGGCGATGGGGCGCCCTTTTTTTTTTTCGAAATGTGCCCGCGCCTGCATCTTCCCTGCGCTTGTGCTTGGACAATGAGAACTTCTGATGGGAGCCACTCCATTTTTGCCGAGCGAGCCTGCCTGCTAGCTTCGCAGCCTGCGCCAAGTCCTCGCGCCGGCGATCACCCCGCCGGTGCACGGTCTAGCCGGGTGCACTTGCCCCGGGCTCGGCCCGGCCCTTGCCACCCCTGGCCTTTTGAAGCCCCCAGCCTGTCGGCCGGATTGCGAGGCCATGGCGCAATCGCGAGCGCAAGAGAAAATGCGCACCCACAAGCACCCGATGCCAGGCTTCGGGAAAGCGCGCCTGGATAGAGGGACACAGCAGACCATGCCGGCGCTTCATGGGTCCTCGCCCAGCTGAGTCGGCCCTGCCCTCCTGTCTGGCTGCCGGCGTCAAGGTACCTTGCACCTGGGACGTGGTCGGATGGAAATGAGAAGCCCCCCCCCCCCTCGGCTTTATGCCTTCTTTGTGCGCTCAAAACAATCACACTTGCTGACATGCCATGGCTTTCGGGACAAAGACACATGTATTTTCCAACAGCACCAAAGTAAGTGTCTTCGGTTCGGCCATGTCCCTCGAAAAAAAGGCCCACGCCCAATGCCATGACGGATGTCTGGCCCGGGGGGCGCGCGCGCGCGCGCGCGCGTGCCCCGAAGGGCACCAAAGAAGGCGCATGCGTCACTTTGGGCGACGGAGCAAGGAAAAAAAAAAGGTGAGTCGTCCGCGGCGAATGGCAGGATGGCCCAACTCGAATGCGTGGGCCCGCCACGGGTGGGCCCCACACACGGCCGGCGGCGTTTGGTGCATGGCTCCTGGCCAAACACCGAACGGATGGCAGCCGACCCCCCCCCCTTGCACATGCATGGCGACCGGCTTGCCTATGCACATACCTTTCTCCGTCTTCTCTGTCCGCCGCGGTTACCGTTCCATGGCGGCCCAGGGGTTGCATTTCTCCCTCCCCCTCCCGCATTGTTGAGGCCCACATGTCATCGCCCGTGAAGGCTCGTCATGTCCCGGGAGGGAGAGGCGTTCACGCCAACATGGGCGCGCGAGAGCAGCAACGCATCGTGTGTGCGCGTGTCTGTGTCCGAAGGTTTGCCCCCTATTTAACGACATAGGCCTTTCGGAGCTCCCGTACCACCATCCTCTTGTGCTCGCGCCCGAGGTTGTCGATGCAGCACAAAAACGGCGGCACCAGGATCCCATCCGGCCGGTCGCACACGACGTCATAGATCTTCTTCGACCTCTTGATGAGAATGCAAAACTTGCACACCGCGTACTTGGGAATCGGCAAGGGCTCGCCCATGCGCAGGCATTCGATGGCCACCACATCGTAGATGTCCCGATCGCGCAGGTGCGACCAGCCACGACACTTCCGCGTGGTGTAGAGCTACCCCGCGCGCCGGGCCGGGGGACGAAAGCCGGGTTCGAGTGTTCGTGCGTGCCCCAGGCCTGTTAGTCGCAAGACAGCCCTCGGGCCCGAGCGCCGGCTGCTGCCAGCCCGGGCGGCACCCAGCCATCCATCGATCGCAAGCAGCATGACGTACGAATGTCGGAATGACAAACACCACCACCAGGGCCAGTCCAAAATAGGCCAGGCCTTGGCTCAACGACCCGGCTGGCGGAGAAGAGGCAAGCCAAGTGGGCCCATCAGCCATGTCCGGATGTCGAAGCAGCATCGACCACGTGAATGGTGGTCCCGCGAAAACCCCAGGCGAAAAGGTGCAGGTCAGGAAGCCCAGCCAAAGACATGGTCAAAGGCCCGGAAGGAAGGAAGGGGGGCACTTTCCTTGCTGCCTCATGGGGCGGGAAGCAAAAAAATATCGCCCCCCCCCCCACCCCCACCTTCTTAGCCAGAAGGATCGCAGATTGTGCCATGGCTCGTACTGAATCCGAGGATCATCAAGGTCATGCCGCCGAAGTACAGGATGAGGTACTGGCTCCGGAGCAGCCCGGCGGGTCATTCGGTCAGTCTGGCTGGTCGCAGGGGCCTGGCGCCGGTGCGGCCTTTTCGAGCGTACCGTGATGAAGCCCGTGAAGACACCGCAGGAGATGAGCTGCTTCGGCTTGCGACCCGGCTGCACGCCCATGCAGCAGTTCGGGCCCCCACCCCGGCGAGGGCGGGCACACACCCATGGTGGTGCATATGCGCGTGCATGCATTGTGTCATCCAGGTGTCAGTGCTTGAAGGCCCCATGAGGGCCGGCCAGCCTGGAGGAAGACGCCTCCTTCCCCCCCGGGCACGCACCATCTCAAAATAGTCCCTGTATACCGAGTGATCCTCCGGGAGGGGCACCTTCGACGGGACCCAGATGGTGTCATCGATGTCGTGCGAAATGCCCACCCCCAGGAGGCACGGGTTCGAGGCCTGTGCATTGGCCTCGGCCAAGGGTGCGCCGTCTGCCGCGTGGGCCTGTGCCTGGGGCAATGGGACTTGTGCCGGCGAGGCGCCATCGTTCGATGTCGTCACCCCGGAATACTGGCTCACTGCCCCACTCAGCAGGGAGTCCGAGTGCGCGGAGTACATGTTTCTTCCAGGCAGTCCGAGAAGGGAGGCAAGTTCAAGGCCGAACGACTCACAAACAGCTGGCAGGCATATTCCACACGTTCCGGGGCGAGTTGGTTACCGATGCCGATGTGAGCATGCGCGACTGCGAGGGGGCTTGCATGATCGTGAAATCGTGACATGGAAGGGGGCATGGGTGCCAGGCATACGCACAAAAAGAAGGGTCCTTGGCGATCCAGAGGACAAAGGAGAGGGGACTCTTTCCTGCACTGTCGCAGGCAAGCCCCCGGCATGAGGGCGCTTTTATAGGAGCAGCCTGCGTGCCGTGGCTTGGACAGGTCCTTGTGGCCGGCGGAGGCAGCACCGCCCGGCGTGCGCCTTGCTCCGGGGCCGGCTCAAGCGCCCGCCCCGGGTCGGCCGCCTGCCCGATACCCCCTCCCCGGTGCATACTTCGACTGGCCCAGCGCGACGGCCAGGACGCGTTGGAGGGCGCACCCGCGGCTTGCCAACCCCAAGAAGCCAAGCACGATCAAGTGCCTGTGCATCCGGCCCCTCGGAGGCCCGGCGCCCAAATGGCTCGAAAAAAAGAAGGGACACTGTCCGGTCGATGCTCACATTCATCGGCACCTTGGCCGTGAGCCGCAGGCATATGGCCTAGAGCACATCATCATGGATGCCACCTTGCGGGCAGCAGCGTGGTCCGGGCCGACATGGACACAGGGCGAGGCCCCTCGTGCTGCAGCCGACACCTGCTCGCTCGCACACATGCTCCTACCGATGCTCGGCAATGGAGGCCCCACACTACAAATACGCCCTGCCACTCGGTCCCTGGCCGCTTCGTGTACGCACACGCATCTCTGCAACGGCCTGCACACACAAGTCAGAATGCGCATGTCAACACGACCAAGGAAGTGGAGGAGGATGCCGCATGGGCGGGCGCGCCCTTTCCACCGACTCGTCGTGGCCGGCATGGCTGCCAGGTGCGAGGCCTGGCTTGCGGAAGAGGCCATGACACAAGCAACACGGCCAAGCCACATGCGGGTGGGCTGGATGTGCCAGCACCGTGAAGGGCGAGTCCAACCAACGCTCCCTCGAGCCACCTCAGGCAAGCGGCCGATCTTGCCCGACACCGGATTCATATCGGCCGCGGTCCCGGGGCCGGCCTGGTGGTGCATTTCGTGACATTGACTCCATAACCATCGACTTCGGCACACCACATGCATGGGACTCGCATGCGGGACGCTTCCAGGGCATGGCGCATGTGGCGAGCAGGTGTATGTACCCCAAGACGGACGCCCACAAATGAGCCTCGCACCGGCCCTGTTCGCCTGCAGCCCGTTGCCCTAGCCTGGTACTCCCGGTCAAAGGGGGCCAGGTGGCCCCTGGGCCGATATACGGTTCGGTCATGTTCGCACCCCTTCTCCTCCCATACTCCCTCGTCGTTTGAAAGGAATGCCCCTCGGTCAGCCAGACGCAACGGGTAAGCTGATGGACGGTCGCCAAAAAGAGAGGGCGTAATACTCCAGGAGGCCGGAGCAGCCCGACACCCCAGCAGGCGGGGGAATGTCTTGCGCGTCGCATGGCTGGCTCGAAGAAACCGGGCCCAAGCCAAGGGACTGCCATGTGGCCACATCTCTGCGCTTCCGTGGCACCGCCTCCGGGGCACAAAGGCCCAGACTCTGCCTCGTCGCCCCCCCCCTCCCCTCCGGCCTCGCCGAGGTTCAGGCGGTAGACACATACTCCAAGCGCGAGTCTGGAACCGATGCGTGGCGCCCCAGCCGTCGGGACCAGCTGGCTCCCCACATTCTAAGCAGCCCGTGGAACGCCGCCCGGTGGCCCCCCGCCGGAGTGGACCCTATCATATCAACCATGACCTGGGGCCTGGCACAACCTCTGCACCAGCCCTGACCCCGACCGCTCCACCTCTTTACCGGGTCCTGGCCCTGGGGAAAGGTCCCATGCCATTGGCACACACGTCCCGGGGTACTTCTTGTGGGGCCCCTGCCTCGTGCGCAGAGGGGGGCACATGCTCGCCCGGCCAGCTGCTGCGGATGATTGTCGGCATCAAGCCGGTCCGCCAGCGCCAGGGCAAGTGTCGGAAAGAGGGCCACCTCAAATGTTTTTCGTCCAGCGGCCCGCCATCCGGCCTGCACCATGCCCAAGGCCCGGGCCTCTGGCGAGGCGAGTGGCAGGAGATCGAAGAAAAGCGCGCAGGCGATCGGAGCACGTGCGCAGGGGAATCCACACACTCAAAGACTTCCAACCGGCCGGGAGGGCAAGGGATCCCTCGGCCGCGTCTCGAAGGGAGGGCCTCTCGAGGAAGTCCCCTCACGGTGGACCGGAGGCTGGGCCTACAGTGGTACATCCCCTCCCCGGCGTCGGTCGGGGGGATCGAGCTGACGCCGGCATTTCAAGGCAAGGTGAGGCAAGAAGCCCGGCGTCTCCGCGGGCCAGCCCATGCATGTTCACGTCGACGAGGTGAGCCGCCCTTGGTTGTGGTCGATTTAGGGGTCTGACGATCAGGCGGATTGTCATCCCGCCGGCCGTAATTCGAGGACAACATGGCCGGCCCGCGCCCGGGACATATCCCTGGCCGGGCGCGCTGTTCCAAGGGGGGAGCCCCTGCATCGATGCGCCCAAGCCGGTGTCTTCTCATGCACATGGCCGTGAGCAAGCCCGGGGCCGGGGAGCCACTTCGCCTCCGCGCGTGGATCGGGACCAGGGGCCACAATACTGGCCCTTTAAAAAAACCCCAATCATCAGCCCGGGCACGCGCTTGTGTTCCTGCTCGCGTTGGGGCTCGACCCCGACCTGACTCTGCCCCGGTGCCCTCATCAGCCCATACTCCGGGGTCCTTCCAGCCACCCGACTAGCCCCCCCCCCCGGCCCCCTCCTTTTAAACGACTCGCGAGATCGCCCACCGATTCCGTCCGTCTGTCAGTCTCACGCGCTTGCCACTGCTCCGCCTGCTTGCAGGTCGGCCGACTTCCTCCACATTCGAGAGGCGTGCCGAATGTTGCCAATGCTGGCACGGAAAATGACCGGCCCTTCGGTGCCGGAACCCATGGCGCGTCGCCAGACGGTGGCCGGACCTTGAAATGCACCTACACGCATGCGGAAAGAATGTGGCACCGCACAAGGACCCCCACCCATGGGGCCCTTGCACATGCGCGCATCCTGTTGCCCCTGCCGCGTCGCCTTGGTCGCCGGGCAGGGAGCAGGCCAGGAGGCGCCTGACACCGCCCCGAACATCAGCCGCCTGGTCTGGCCCATTCAACGCCCCAATGCCAATGCCACAATTACCTCCCCCGGTGTCAGCTCCTGCCACGACTAGTGCGCATGCGAAGCAGGAAGCCGAGTTGAGGCCCGGGGCATCAGCCTGCGAGTCGCCCGACCTGGCTCAGCACTCATGCTGACGTCGGCCCCGCGCACGCATCCGAAGTCCCGCCCCTGGCGGGCGCGCTCATGGAGCCGGGACACCAGGACAGCTGGGCTCCGCAGCATGGCCCGGCCTTGGGCAGGTCGCACAGCCCCAAGCTGCAACCGCCCGCGGGAGGCAATGCCCCAGCCCGGCATCGGTCCTCGGCTGGGGACCTGCGCGCGACGCGTGGTCCCGGACCCCGCAGAACGAAGGCCCCCCCCCCCCCCCGCCGCCGCCGCCCCGGAGGTCCCTCAGTGCCGCCCTTCGCCGCGGCACCTCCCCCGTCCTGGCACCTGTGTCTCCCGAAAAGGCGGGATTACCGAAGAGCGAGGCCCCTGACCCTCGCCCGACACCCCGGATGCTTGTACGTTGTGATCCCCGCCCCACACCCCTCTCGACCCCCGCTCACGCGCATCACCCCTGCACAGCTCGCAGCCCCCCCGACGAAGGTCGATCTCGACGTGCCTCCGCCGCCATGAAAACATCTTCCCGCTTGGTCCTACTCCTCCTGGCTGTCGCCGGTGCGTCGCCTCTGCCCATCCGGCCACATGGGCCCCGGGTCCTGCGCACATCTTGCCGGGCAACCGCCTCGCTACCGCCTTGCCGCCTCGCTGCCAGGCGCGCGCACCCTGCCTCACAACCCATGCTGCCTCGGCCGAGCGGTGGGTTTGCCCACCCGCACGCCCCCCCCCCCCCCCCCCGCTGACCACCGCCGAACCGGGCCTTCCCCAATGCTCCCCCCGCCCCTCTCTCCCCCGGCCTGCCGCCGGGCACGCTGCTGTCAGGTTGCATTCTCTCGGCCGAGGCCGGGTGCTCCACGCGGGAGCTCTCCCGACGCCTTGAGAAGTTCACCATCGTCTGTGCAAGGACTGCCTCCAAGCTGTGCGGCTCCTCCTGCACCAAGGACTTTTACAAGATCAGCAACTGCCGCGGCACGCCTCTCTGCATGACCAACATGGAGGAGCATGTCGCGCGCTGCCAGATGCTCGAGCCCTATTCCTACGGAGCCACGATCACCCCCGGCACGGCGCCGTACGATTGCAATGACGCCGGGTCGCTCCACGCCCGCGGCCGCCTTCCAAGCATCCTGGCCTTCAGCCTCATCCTGGCTCTGCTTGCGATGTTTGCCGTCTAAGTGTCAGCCCGGCCCGTGTGCCGGGATTATGCCATCTCAGCGCCCCTCTGGCGCCTCACCGAGCGTAGCATCGCCTTTCCTCGGTTGCAATGTTGATCCCCCAGCACGTCCGGAGCCATTACGAAGGACACCCTCGCTGGGGTGCCTTCCCTGTGCGACCGGTGGGCCGCCCTTCATTCGGAGTGCCTCCGAGGCGGGACGGCCCCCTCTGCACCCCTCCCACGAAGGGGGCGGGCGTGCGGCGCGATTTTTTTCCCGCCCCGCCGACCATGCTGAAGAGCCAATATTGCCGGAATACAAGACCGCCATCACGCTTGGGTGGGATTGACTTGTCCGATCCCCAAACCATGTGGGTGCCAAGCCCCTCCTGTGTGCCGGAGGCCCTTGGCCATGGGGCTGCCCAGTGCCGATGCCGCATGGCACCCGACCGCGAGGGATGCGCCGGCTCGGTGTGTGTTGCCTACCATGCCAGGCACCGTCTTTGATGCTGACCGAAAAGCGGGCCGAGAGAGTGAAGGGGCCGGCAGAGAGGGAGACAATCAAAGGAAAGGGTCCTGTCGCTTGGCCACGGGCCAGCCCCATGACGTGTTGGACTCATCTCGCAAGGGCCGGCCTCTTGGGGGCGAGAACCCTGCGCTCGAGACAACTTCACGCAATGGACGGCCGGGTAATGGGTCCGTCCCCTCTCCTGGCGGAAATCGGGAGCGGTTCAAAGAGTTCACTGCCCGAATGCCAGCCCGGGGGGGGGGGCCCTAGCCGCACGCGGCGGACCAGGAAAAGCACCCCCAGTGCCATGTATGGCGGCGGTCTTCGACGCGCGGATCATATGCACTCGGTCCATGTGGATGGACGAGAGGGGGAGGGGGGGGGGGACGAACACAGCCATACCACATTCAATCGTATGATGCTGGTATAACGGCGAAACCCCCGGACAAGGACCCGGCCACCGACGGAGGGGCACTCATTTCCGGTATTCCTGCAGACGGACACCGCGGCCCGGAAGTGCAGTAACCCCGCTCGGAGGCCACGCACGCGGGGATAAAGAAACGCCCCCCCCCCTCCACTGGAGGGTCAAATTCACCGACAACCTCCTTCCCTCCCGCCCGAGACATCTGGGCACCCTCGTTTCCAATATGAATCCCACGCCCAGGGGGCCGGCAATCTTTCGCCCAGGCCCGATGCACCAGCAACCTCGGCATTTACGGGGGGGGGGGGCGAGGAAAAACAACAACAACAACAAAAAACACCCGCATGGCTCGAGAGTCCCCCTGCCCGACCGAACAACACGCGGCCACCATCTGTTCCGGAGAGTCAACCATGCCCCACGCTTGGGGCGGGAACCCGCGTCAACTTGCGCCCCCTGACTCTCCCGCACGTTGGGATGCCCCATTGCCCGACCATCCCCTGGACCTCCCCGGCCGATGTGCTTCCTCGTCCCACAGGCCCACTGGTCTCACTGCAAGCCGATGCAAACTGCCCATCAAGGGTGGGATAACGGGGTTGGGAGTACATATTGGCAAAGTCGGAAGTTGCGCCGGTGGTTGTGCCAACCGACTCGGCGGGTTCCACGCGCCTGGCTCGGGCCGATTCCCTCGCGTGGCCATTCCATCATCTCAGACACCCCTGGCTCTCGCCGATGTTCGCCGCCCCGGGCCGCCATTCTCTCGGTGCCCACCGAATAGGGCTCTTTCTCCGGGCCCTGCCCCGGGCGGCCGTGGTGCCCGACGCCAGGGGGCCACATTGCCCCCCGATCCCTCGCACACGCCCAGCCGGCATGGAATCGAAAGCGCCCCCAGCGCCTCGCACGAGCACCGGTCCCAAGTCAAGGCCGCCCTCGGATGGCCGGCGCAGCCCGCAGCCCGACATCCACTCCGGGGGCGGTCATTTTGGCGGTGGATACCCCCCCCGCCCTCCCTGGGAGTCAGGAATCCAGGCTTCCTCAGGTGTTCTGGACCCCGCCCAGGAGAAATCTCCCTGTGGTCTATTTCGACTCGGGCTCGCCGGTAATCTGCGCGCAAGATGCCCAAATCGGGGTCTTCTCACTCCCCCCCCGCCCCCCTCCCTGGGTGACACTGCCTTCCAACAGACCCTCGTCTGCCTAGGGGCCGGCCACCAGGCCGTTCGCGCCCCTGGCACGTGGTTGGAACACTATTGCCCCGCTCCCTCTCCGAAAAAAGCCCACCGACCTGAATGCCTCCCTAGCAAGACCCCCACACTCCCAGCGGCCCTGGCCCCGTACACTTCGCCTCTCCGCCACGCCGTAGGACGCTCTCCAGCCCGACCGGCCCCCCGCCCCCCCCCCGTTCGGCCGTCCCGAGGGCCGGCGACCTCCCGCCATCCAGAGGGCACCGCCGTCCGTCCTCTTGCTCTTCGTGCCCACCAGCCCCTCTCCTCGTACCCGGTCACGGCGCTCGCCGGGAAATGGTCGCCCTCTCTCTCTCTCTCTCCCTTTACCGATTGACCGCTGACCCTGTCTCTGCCATGCGGCTGGAGCACCGGCGGCTGCTGACCCATGGGTCGGGCCTGATGCTTGGCTTATGCCGTTGCTCCGGTCAGGGGACATGCATATGCGCAGCTGAGGAAGCGGTCGAATTCCCCGCCCGCCGCACTATCCCCCCGCCTCGGGGTGTGTCTCCCGCAACCTCGCACTTGACACGTCGGCCGCGCCCATTCGACAGGCAAGGCTTGTCGCCAACTGCGCTTTGATGTTCACCACATTCCTCCGTTCCTCCCGTGGAAACCAGCGCTCGCCTCCCTCTCCGGCATGAGGCGTTGCCGGTGATTCGTTGCTTGTCGTGTATCTTCATCCCTGCCGGTTGGTGGGGCATGCCAAGGTGATGAGCTCCCCTCCATGCCGGCAAACAATGCCCCCTGCCCAGCCTCGCCGGCCATCGCCGTCACACGCTTGACGGGCATGTAGGCACGATCCCTGGCCCGCTGCCGGGCCGCGGCACCGAAAGTACAGCCACGCGTCCCGCGGCCCCAAGCGCATCCGCCCCCCAGGCCGGATTGAACCCGCCCTCGGACGCGCGACCGGCTCTCGGAGAACGCCCATGTTAATGGATCTCTCGCGCGCGGGACACCCTGGCGAGGGAACCCCTCCCCGCCGGGAACACAGTCGCTCGGCACCCGGTTCCGCGCCACACACTGTTCATGCGGCCCGCCATGCTGCCATGCACATGTGCCGGTGCCATGGCCCACCCCGCGCCAGAGCACCTGTCTCCCCGAGGCCCTGCCCTCCCAGGCCCCGGGCCTTGTCCGACGCCTCTCCGCCGTCAGGCCCCCCCGGGAGGGTGCTCTGGACCCCGAGGTCGAATGTCGATCTGTTCCTCCCGCTGGACATGCGTTGTCCGCCCACGCCCCGGCCCCCGGGCGCCGGCGCTTCGCCAGACTGCCTCCCGCCCGGGACCCGCGAGAATGCCTTGTATGCGTGACTCCTTGCGCACATCCAGACACATGCCCTGCCGTCAGATCCCAATACATACCCCCATGCCAGCATTGTTCCCCCTTTTCCCGGGCTTCGGAGTTCCCGGTTTCCAGGAGCCAGCCCCGACGTGTGCTCGGCGGACGATGCAGCTTCCCTGCAAGACGAGGGCCGGGCCAGGCCCCGCAGGCCCATGCACCGACCTTCCAACAAGCACTTGCCCCTGGGGGCCGCAGACGGAGGCTGCATTCCCCCCTTCGGAAAGGCCACGTCCTCGCTGCCTCCCCCCATGGCCCGGTGTGCCCCGGGCACCTGTCCCCCCCCCCCCCCCCGCCCCCCGGCCCCGCAGGCGACCAACTCCCCCTTCCAGCACACATACCATGCCACACATGTCCATCCCCAGATCTCAAGCTCCACACCTCCTCGTGCGCGGCATCACAGCTCGACACCGGGGACCGAGCGCGGCGGGGATCGGAAGGCCGCCGCCAGGACCGCCCCATGCGCCCTGGACCTCATCCCTTGTTGGCCCGGCGCAAGCTGACACCGACGGTCCGAGGCCGCCAGCCCTCGCGAGCCCCTCGCGGCACCTTCTGGCGGCGCCTCGCCCCGGCGGTGTCTCCTCCCTCGTGCTGGGCCTCCCAAACTGCCCCTCATATTACTCCCTTGCCGAGCCCCCGATATATCGTGCCTTTGCTCCCGCTCCCTGCTTCTACTGCGTTCCACCGGGAGGCACGCGGCTCTCACAACCCGACGCTTGGCCGGTTCTCCCCTGAACCGCCCAGAGCATGGGGAGCGGTGCCGGCAGCCCCTGCTCGAGCAGACGTTCCCCCCCGCCCCACGTGGATCCCCGCCGTCCAGGTGCAAGCGGACCTCCGGCCTGGTGCATCCTGGCAGCACGTCCACAGCCCAAGTGTCCTGGTCCCCGGGGCACCGACCGGGCCACGCCGATTTTACCCCCCCCCCCCCCATCCGCGGGTCTTCAAGGAAGACCCCTCTCGACCGCCCTCCTCCGATGGACCACCGACCAGCACGCGCTCCGCGATCAGCTCTCAACAGCCAACACCCGCACTCCCCGCTCCCCGGGCAAAACGCATACACTCAATGCTACCTTGCGGCTCACCAAGCACACCCGCCGGATTGGCCTTTCTGCCCTACTCCCGCTCGGCAGCGAGTCATCGACCTCCCTCCGGCATGCCCCGCACGCCGGGTGGTCCCGGACCGCCGACACAAGGAACAATGAGCATGTCGCGAAAGCCCCGCGGAAGAGCCTGCCCAGGCACAAAGCGTTTCTGTTTCCGCTGCCACGTTGGGCGGATTCCCGGGCATGCTCGCCTCGGTCCAGGCGCCGGCCCTCCGTCCGCCTATGCGCCCGGTGCACACCCAGGGCCGGGGCACCTTGCCGGCATCCCGACATCCGACTGTCAGCAGCTTGACACACCATCTGATGGCCGCCGCCGAGCACCGGCTCATGCTCACGCAGGGGCCCGGGCCCCGGGCGCCACATCCCCTCCCGGCCATGGGCTCTCGCGCTTGGCTTCGGTCTTGGCCGAGATGAAAAGGCAGCAGGGGCTCGTGTCGGGCCGGACCGAGGCGGCTTGAGTTCGTCCCCGACACACCGGAGGCCCGGCGAGAAATCCCCCGCTTCCCCGGCCGGATAAGCCAAGCCGAGCCTCTCCCCCCCGAGACCGCCTCCATCACAGGCCACGGGTGGAGGCCAAGAGTGCCGCCAAGTTGCAAGGCCTTTGTCCCCCGCCGATCGAGCTTTCTCTTTTTTTTCCCCAATACACCTTCATGCGACCATCCCACGGCCATCGAATCGCGGTTATGGCGCTGGACTTGGTCGTGGCAATCTCCCGGCCGGGCCACAGAGGAGAGAACCCCTCGCCGCCCAGAGCCCAAGCTCGGGCCCATCCCCACAGCCACGCCCTGATGGACGACAACCGCCCGGACACTTGCCGGCGGTCGCGGAAGACATGGGCCCCCACATGGTCCAGCAAGGGCAACACAGCGGCTCGGGCGGCATGCGCGCCCGGCCACCCAGGCACTCGGCCGGACATCTTGGCCCCCAACGTCCGCAGGCCCGGGCCAGTCCGCCACTTCGGACGCGCTCAGGGGGGCGGCCATCCTTGAGGCCGAATCCCCCGTGGGATGCCCCCCCTTGGAGAAGCGCGCCCAACACCCAGGCCCCGGTGGCACATACATGCCTCCCAAGCGTAGCCCGTTTCGATTCGCCTGGTCGCCCGAGGCCCTGGTTGTCCTCGAGTCCAATAGCCCCTCTGGCCCTCCATGCAGGTGCACTGCCGACACCTGGGCCCCTCCGGCGTGCAAGAGCCGCCATCCACATCAAGGATCGCCACCAAGACCGACCTCTTTGGCGGTGCACCCGTGCACAGGGCCCCTCTGGCCGCCATTGGTGCTGGCCGCTCGCCCGGAGGCCCGGAATAATACCGGCATGTGCCCGAAGCGCCACATGCAGCATGATGCCCCTCGACGGAGTAGCCCACCGGGAAGGAGAGCCACCAGGCCGGGAGGCGCCCATGACCAGGCGCTTGGCATAAACAGCCGCCCGATGCCGCACACGAGCATTGCCTCCTTCAGGCGGAAAAGAGGCCAGACCTCAGGAGCGTGCAGGATACCATGGATCATGAGCCCGCGAGGGAGGAATCCGGAATGCTTCTTCCACCTGGCCAAAACCTTCTTGTATCGGAGTCCCAGCCGCCTGAATGTAGCCCCACCGCGGCTGACCGCCTTCGCCCTCGCGCCCCGGTCGACGCCCAACCCGAGCCATGGGAAGAGCATCCGCCCCGAAGGGCCGACCTCCCTCCGTGGAGGCTACACATTTCCGGACACCATGCGCCCGTCCTCCGGCCTCTGCGATGGTCCTTCACTCGCCGTGGGTGCCCGAAAAAAAAAAACAACACCCGGAACCAATGGTCGCACACGCACCCAGCAGCCCAACCCCTCTGCTGAGAGATATGCCCCTCGGCCCAGCCCCATTCGGTGCTGGTGCTCGGGAATAAAGTAACCACCTCGCGAAAGGCATGAGGTCCCACAGCCATCCGTCGCCGGGGGAGCGGAAACCCATGTTGCCTGTATTCGGATCCAAGGTCGGCCTTGACACCGGATAGGGCCGGGGCCTTTTTTCGAAAGGCAAATGCAGTCCCAAGCGCCTGGGTCCGCTCGTTGCGAAGCCGACTGGCGGCCTGTGTCCATAACGGCTGGCACAACTGCCCAGCTCGGAGCCAAGCGCCCCACGGCAGGGCTCGCCCGCCGACATGCCACAGAAAGGCCCCGGGGCCTAGGCAAACATCGAGAAGAGCAGGCGATTGGGCGAGCCCTGCGAATCGATCACCTTATTGTTGGTCGCCATCTCGAGAACGTACTTCCGAAGATCGGCCGGGCTTCGGGGGCCGAAATTGGCCAACACCAAAGCAGCCACCCCGGATGCATGGGGCGCCGCGGCCGAGGTCCCGGAAAAATACGAGACGGCCGTGGACGATGCGTGCCCGGTCGTTGGGATGCTGTCGCCTGGGGCGAAGATGTCCACGCAGGGCCCGAAGTTCGAGGCGCTCATGCGCGTGTCACGATTATTCACCGACGCCACATTGAGCACCTCCGACAGCCGGCCCGGCGACCATTGGCACGCATCGCCATTGCCATTTCCAGCCGCACTGACAAACAAGACTCCCGCCTCGGTGGCCGCCAGAACCGCATCGTCCAAGGCCTGACTGGCGGGCGTGAGGAGCGAAATCGAACCGACGGTCATCTTTCGCATGCTTTTCCGATGTGCCTCCGCCACAAAGCCAATCCCCTGGACCAGGGCCGAGTTCGTACCACTGCCCGCATTGTCGGTCACCCGGACGCCGAAGATGGCGGCCGACTTGGCCACGCCGTAATTCTCGCTGCCGATGATGCCGGCCACCGCCGTGCCATGGCCATGGTAGTCATCCGCATACGGGGTGTTGTCATGGAAGTTCCACCCGTAATGGAGGTTCCCCTTGAACCCGACGTGGCTTTTGTTGATGCCGGTGTCGAGAACATACACCGAGGCGCCGGCCCCGGCATGGTCGTAATACCAGTACCGATTGTCCAGCGGCAGGGACCGCTGGTCCAGGCGATCCAAATTCCACGGCGGATCCTTCTGGCTGATGGCCGCAAGGCGCACCGCCTGGTCCGGCTCGATGTACGCCACCAGGTCGCCGCGGGCCTGAATGCGCGCCAGTGCCTCCGGCAACAGGGCCCCCACCAGGGCCTTGAACCGGCTGCCAATGTGGAAGAACGTCCCGGAGCCCACCTCCTCGGAGAAGGAACGCGCCTGCTCCACGGATGTCACTCCATGGAAGACGACAATGAACCTGTCGGGGATGGTTTCCGCATGGGGGTTGTCCATGATCCGGACCGGGTCCGGTGTCTGGCCCGCCACCAGGGCCGACACCCATACCAGGGCCAACAGGACGCGGGCCACGAAATGCCTCATGGCCGGCTTGGCGAGGGCCAGGCGGCGAGCGGGAAGTGGCAGAGGAGGAGGAGGGCCGGCGCGGGGCCCGACGAGCTGGTCAAGGGAGGAGGCGTCTCGCAAGGAGGCTGGCTCGAAGGAGGAACGGGTCAGTGTCACTGCAACACCAATGGGGTCGACGGGAAGGGCACGGTCGTGAGGTGACTTGCTGACCGGGAGAGAGCCCCGAGCATCCCGGCTCTTGGGCCGCCTCCTCCGTGGGGCCCAGGGCCAGCCACCATCCCCCCCCCCCCCCCCAAGGCAAGACTTGGCCCAGCGCAAGGTCTCTCCATGTCCGGGCCTCTCGGCGCCGCAATGCCGCACCCTCCGTCGCCCGCCACAACCTCACCGGAATCCGGCGGACGGCCATCACCGGGCCCATGGGTGCCCCGGTATGGGGCACCTCGCACCAAAACACGCGAACCAAGCCCCAGCCCCATGGCCAGGAGACCATTGAAGCGCCTCCTGGCCGGACAAGGCCGCCCATCGGTGCCGAGGGCACCACCCCCGTGCCCAAGGGTCCAGCATACACCGGCATCCGAGGGCCGGGCATATTCCCCCGAGGACAGCCGCGCATGCATCACACCAGTTATGGCTGCAGCACGTCCGGCTTCCAACAACAGCCGGCCGGCACAGCCCACCCCCTATGCGCACACACACACACGCACCAGCAGAACCTACTCCCGAAAAAGAATGCCGGCCGAGGAGGACGCAGGGTCCGGAGTTCCGCTGTCCGTACATCCGGAGCAATGCCCCCCATCACCGGAGGGGGTCCTGGCAAGAAGCCAGCACATCACACCGCCCATGCACATCGCAGCTCCGGGCCCGAGGCCAAGCACACCACCCGGGCACAGTGCCGCGCGCGCCCCGGGCCCGGCTTGTGGCGCATTTCGGCCCTCCGGCAGCCACGGCCTCGCGCAATCCCCGTGCCATGGGCCCATCCGCGGGAGCCCGCACCCACGGAATACAAGCGCCACGACTCCCGGCCGGGGGAGGGGGGCATCGGCCGTTGACAATCTCACACTGCCCCGCGCCGGCAGGCTCGGCCGGCCCATGGAAATAACAATCCCCGGGAGGCCCCTCGGAGCAGCGCGATTCGCGGGCGCGCCCGAAACGGCAAACATCGGGGGATAATGATGCAGACTCCTCCTTCGCTGGACTTCCGAAAAGGTCCTTTTGCCGACTCCCCCTCCACTGCCCGAGACTCGGGCGAACAGCGTGCCGCCCCCCCCCCGACGCGAACCCCTGCCGACCTGGAGCCAGACGCAGCGAAAGGCAGGCCCGCGCGCGCACACCCCGCACGGTCCGCGTGGCGGGCCCCATCTGATGCCCGAGCCCGGGTCAGCCCCACCCCCAAGGTGATCCCATTCGCCCATTCCCGGCGTCGAGCCAACTTGCTGGCTCGGCCATCGCGTGCCCGGGGCACGCACTCCCCTTCGAACCCGGGACCATCCGCCCGGCCCCTTAGAACCGAGGCGCGATCTTCACCGGAGCCCGTGGGCCCGGCCTGTACCGAGCCTCTGGATTCTCGCTCTCACTCACTCGGACTGCCTCACTCTCTCGTAGACCCAGCCATTCTGGGTCCCACTGGGTACCTGGCACTCGGTACATCGGCCAGCTCACCCTCCGCGGAGCCCCCCTGCCCTCTGATGGCCTGCCGACAGCGCGGGCCGGAAAAAAAGGGTCGGCCGCCTGGCATTCAGGCGCGAGTCCGCCCCCCCCCCCCCCCCGGCTGGCAGGGGAAACCAGGAAGATGGCTTCCCTTTTCTATCCACCCCCTCCCGGCTCCGCCAGCTACGCACACACACACACACACAGACATTGTCCATGATCCCTTCGCTCAAGGTTAGAGCATCGGCTGGGCAGTCCACCATCGGGCAGCTGCCGCTGCTGGTCCTCAGGCTTACCCTTAAAGACCCATCATCCAGCTCCATGTGGCCGTATCCCCTCTTCCCCTCCTTCCCTCCTGCCCAGCTCGACTCTTCTCCTCGCCGCCCCCTCGCGAGCCCTTCTGCCCCGGCCCACATCCCCGAGCACCATGCCCTTACTTGGTCGCGCACGCGCCCGGCAGTGGCCCCAAAGACGGGCCCCCACTCCGGGATGTCAGCCGGCCAGACCCAGCGCCCAGTCCCCCTGGGCCATGCACCGCCGATCGGCCTGGCTGCTGCTGCTGCTGATGGCCCTGCTGATCGTCCAGTCACCCCAAGTGACCAGCTCCACCACCGTCCCGCACTTGGACGCCCCCTCGAGTCCGCCCGCCGAGCACCCTACCCCGGACCGCTCGCTCGCCTGGCCCAATGCCACCTCCCCCGCCGCTGCCGCCGATGCCTCGGCCGGAGTTTCCGCCGGCCCCTGCCCCAGCTACTTCAATCCATGCAGCAACACCCAAGAGTGCTGCCCGGCGCTCTGTGAAAAATGCACCGCCATGCCCCATTCATGCACTGTCAAGTGCACCGCCTGCGAGATATCGTACCATGTGCTGACCAACTATCGCTGCCATTTCGAGTGCCCCTTTGGGCACTATGGCGTGGACTTCGCCCCGGCCTGCCTCCCATGCCACCACTCCTGCCTCGAGTGTATGGATCCCTACGACCATTGCCTTGCCTGTGTGACGGGCGTCCTGCGCCCCGAGGTGGGGGCCTGCTTCCAGAGCTGCCCGGCTCACCAGGGGGCAGCCACCATCAAATATCTGAAAAAAAAAACCGGCACCATGCCGCACAAGGTGTGCGTCGACTGCCCGGCCAACTGCGAAGATTGCAATCAACCTCGAGAGGACATCCATTGCACCATCGCCTCGGGCAAAGGGCTGACATGCCCAGCCTCTACCACCTGCTGGAGGTGCAAGTTTGGCTACTACCTGCTAAATGATGAGGAATGCCTGAGCCAGTGCCCTCCATCCTACTATCCCGACAACTCCACCAGCGGGGACTATCGCTGCAGGGCGTGTGCTCCCGGATGCCTGAAATGCAGGGGCCCCCTGGACTCCGATTGCGATTGGTATCACACCCCGCCCACCCCGCCCACACCGCCGAAAGGTACCGACCATGCCCTCGCGTCACATCATGCCCGCCGCCTGGCCAGGGCATGGTTGCTCCTCTTCCATGCCCCCCCCCCCCCCCCCCCCCCTGGGCCTTGCTC